TTCTGCTGTCCATGAGGTCGATATGAGTCGGAAATGACTCGACAGCACCTAACAAGAACAACAACAACAACTTTGGCCATGTTGTCAGAAGGGATTATTCCCTGGAGAAGGATATCATTCTTGTTAGAGGGTCAGTGAAAAATGGGAAGACCTTCCATGAGATTGACACAATGACTGCAATGATGCACTCAAGCTTAGCCAGATTGTGAGGATGGCGTAGGACCTGGATTGTTTCATTCTGTTGTACCTAGGGTTGCTATGAGTCGGAGCTGACTCAACTGCACCTAACAACAGACCAATGATTCTCAAACACTGCTACTGATCAGAACCACTTGAGTAACTTTTCCAAAAACTTAAAATCTTATGTTCTCACCACAAAAACTTGAATCCTATGCTCTGTTTTAGTAAGCCTGAGGTGGAAGCCAGGAATCTGTATTTTTATACAGCTACCAATATTTGGGAGCTCTGGTAGCATAGTGGCTAAATCACTTGACTGCTAACCAGAAGGCTGGCGGTTCAAACCCACCAGCCACTCCTCGGAAGGAAGGTTGGGCAATCCTACTTCCGTAGTGATACTGCCTTGGAAACCCAAGGAGGGGTCACTATGAGTTGGGGCCGACTCGATGGCACATAACAACAACAACCAATATTTTGAAAAATTACCCAGATAATTCCATATTTAGCCAGGGTAGAAAACAGCCCTTTACTACCCAAGAAAATTTAGTTGGCAATAAGAGGATATGAAGTGTCTTTTTTTTTTTTTAAAAAAGGGGGATTCTATGTTAAGAAAGTACAGCATATAGTTAAGAGCATTAGTTTTGAAAGTTAGAGATTAGGTTCCAATGCCAGTGCTGCAACCTCCTGTTAACCTTAGAGAAATTATCTAACTTTTCAGGGCTTCAGTTTCTCAACCTATGAAACAGATCCTATACGGCTACTAAGAAGCCCTGCTGGCACAGTGGTTAAAGCATTTGGAAATGCTTTAGCAGCATTTTTAAATGCTGTTAATGGAAAGGTCAGTGTTTCAAACCTACCAGCTGCTACGCAAGATAAAGATGTGGCAGTCCGCTTCCGTAAAGATTACGGCCTACTCTACCCTATGGGATCACTGAGTTGGAATCAACTCCAGGGCAACAGATTTGGTTTATAGGGGTACTATACCAGCCACTCCTTGGAAGGAAGACTGGGAAATCTACTTCCCTGGAGGTACTGCCTCAGAAACCCAACTAGGGGTCACTATGAGTCAGAAAGGAGTGGAAGGCAGTGTGTGATAAAGGACCTCTGATAGTACAGTGCTTAAGGCACTTGGCTCTTAACCAGAAAGTTGGCGGTTCAAATCCACCAGCTGCTCCGCAGGAGGAAGGTGAGGCAATCTGCTTTCATAAAGATTTACAGCCTTGGAAACCCAGTGGAGTCGCTATGAGTCAGGATCCACTTGGTGGCAGTGCATTTGGTTTTTAGGTTTATGAAGATGCCTGAAATACAGCACAGTAACCCTTGGCCGTATTTATTCTGGAGTATACACCACTGGGAGTTCTGGTGGTGTGGTGCCTAAGGCACTTGACTTCTAACCAGAAGGCTGGGGGTTCAAACCCACCAGCCACTCCTGGGAAGAAAGGTTGGGCAATCTACTTCTGTACTGATACTGCCACAGAAACCCAAGGAGGGGTCATTATGAGTCGGATCCAACTTGAGGGCAGTGAGTTTGGCTTTTTCGTTATACATGTGCTACTGGTTCAGTACGAATTCAGAATATACTGCGGTAAAGTATCTCCAGCTAGCTCTTGGCAAAACGTAAATTTTCCTGGCCCTCAGGAAGATTAGGCACTCTACTTCCGTAGAGATACCGCCTCGGAAACCCAAGGAGGGGTCGCTACGAGTTGGATTCCACTCCACAGCCAGTGAGTTTGGTTTTTGGTTTTGTCAGCTAACTGAAAGACGCGAAAGGTCCCAACAGGGCGGGGACTATTAAGATTCGCGCTTGCTCACAGGTCTCCGGCTGCTGCGCCACACACGTCCACCAGGGGCCGCTGGAGGTACCCAATGTCTTCCTGGTTTCCGTGTTGCGCGCGCCTCCGGGCCCCAGTAGAAGCCCCAGGTCTTCCATTGTTGTTCCCGTAGGTGGCTACAGCAAACCAAGCCTCTGTGGCTTGGGTACGGGAGCGCTTTCGGTACAAAAAGCTTTCATCTGCTGTGGTGTCTGTTTTGCGCTCACTCCTTTCGTGGGCAATTCTGGGCGGTAATTATAAGCGTCTCCATTGCCCTACTGCGGGAGAAGTAGGAGGCCGAGCCCAGCGGGGAGTTCAAGCTGACTGGCCTGGGCCAGGCGAAAGGCCGCGATAGCCTGAATGTTGCGATGGTTGATCGGGGGAGGCCGAGAACCTCAGGGACTGGCCGAGGTAAATCGCGAGAGGACGGTCCTTTCATCCGCATAGGCTGAGCTTGCTCTCGCAGTGGTTTGTGCGTGAGCCGGGCTCCCAGGTCCAGACGAAGGGGACTGTCGCAGAGGTGGGGTGCACTGCCTCGAGGCTGGCATGGGGCAGGGTCTAAGCCAGAGGTACCTTTTCGCGAGCTAACTATATACCACTTGGTCCCTCCCAAGGATTCTGCGTTACGTATCTGTGTTCTGAGAGGTGAGGTAACCGGAGCTGATGTGAGTCAACGACCGGCTCAGGGACACTGCTAGTAATCAGTGGAGGTGGGGCCTCTAAGAACATAATTTTTTTGGCTGCTTATACCAGCTGTTTTCAACTTTAAAAAGTGTCCCAACTTACCAGAAAGGAACAAGTGATTACAACTTTCCACTTTTGATTTATTTGAATTGGTGCCTCTTTCCAACTGATGCTTATTCAGGAAATATAAAATTAATTTAATTATTTACACAAGAACTAAAATGGATATAATTATTTAAAAAATATTTAGCTTCAAAGTAAACAAAATGATTTTCTAATTAACTGGTAGTTTTTGTTCCATGGTGAATAGACTGTCATGAGGTTTACATTTGAAGTGATAAGAAAAAAATAATTATGCAGTATTGAGGTCTGGAATTTATTTCATATATGACATAAAGAATGGAATTTGTGCGGAGTTTCCTTTCATTTCTCATAGGAAATCTTGTTTCCATTTAAACTTGGGTTGTTGTAAGCAGCCTTACTTCTCAGTTTTAGCTTCCTCTATCTTTGCAGTTAAGGTTTATAGTCAATTTAGTAACAGTTTTTGTTTTTTCAGCTTAGATTGAGATACTTCCAATGATGGAAAAAAATCGTGGCTGTTTGAATAATATGAATAAAACATATGATATTTATGACAATTCTGTATTAACCGGAATATTTGTTGTTGTTATGTTGTTATATGCCATCGAGTCAGACCTGACTCATAGCGATCCCTCCTTGGGTTTACGAGGCAGTATGACTATGGAAGTAGATTGCCCAACCTTCCTTAAGAGGATTGGCTGGTGGGTTTGAAAGGCCAGCTTTCTGATTAGCAGGCAAGTGCCTAGGCACTATGCTACCAGAGCTCCTTAACCTGAGTATTTGGGTAATCATAATTTCATTAACCAATTCAGTCTTGCCTCTCAAGCTTTCATATGTAGGAAGCAGTTTTATATACTTTTCAAATATTTTACTTTTACCTTTCTTATCAAAATGTGTTAGAAAGGACAGGAAAGAAATAAAAATTACTGCTTTATGGTATTTTTTTGGGGAAATGTTTATGCTTGTTAATTTGTATATTTGTTCATGTAAAAGTACTTCAGTTTTATAACTGCTATGAATTTGTACATTATCAAAATTTATAAGTTTTCCTAATTTACAAGAACTTTGTATCCAGGCATCTACCAGTATGTTGTTGTGTGCTGTCGAGTTGGACCTAACTCATAGTGACCTCTCCTTGGGTTTCTGAGGCAGTGTCACTTGTTGTTGTTGTTATGTGCCGTCGAGTCGGACCCGACTCATAGCGACCCCTCCTTGGGTTTCCGAGGCAGTATCACTAGGGAAGTAGATTGCTAGCCTTCCTTCCGAGGAGTGGCTGGTGGGTTTGAACTGCCAGCCTTCTGGTTAGCAGTCAAGTGCCTTAGGCACTACACTATCAGAGCTCCTTCTAGCAGTATAGGGAGACATTTTTGATTGTCCTGACTTAGGAGGGAGTCTGTGCTACTGGCATATAGTGTGTAGAGGCCAGGGATGCTGGTAAACTTACAACACCTGCCCCAATATCACTAGTGTCAAGGTTGAGAAACACTGGTTTAGAGGTTAAGAACAAAGGTTTTAACATGAGTTAATACTGGGTTTCACTCCAAAAATGGGGTTAATAGGAATTACCTATAGAATTATTGAGTGAGTTATAGGAGATGTGCCTATTAATTATAATTAACACAGTGTCTGCCATATGACATTGCACATAATACTGTGTAAATGTTAGCAATTATTTTTATAAATGTCATCATTCAGAATTGAATTCATTGACCCTAAATTATTTCATTCCTTCCTTTATTTATTCAGCAAATGCACTGACTTAATCTTTATTATATTTTGTACTTTTGACCTGCAGTTTTGTTTCTTCAAATTTTAATTGAGAAACACTTATTCTAAAATACTGGATTGGCCTATGTAATTTTTTTTAAAGTCATACCTTTTATTGATATATGATTTGCCTGCAGTAGAATTTAGCCTTTTAAAGTTTATTGTGACTTGAAAATACTAAAATTTGATGTGTGGATTTGTGTTAAGATAAATGTTTTATGTGCATTTGTCAATTATTTCGTTTATATTAAGGAAATATTACGTAATATTAGAACATGAGCCCTAATGGTGCAGTTATTAAGTGCTCGGCTGCTAACCAAAAAGATCTGTGGTTTGAACCTGCCAGCCTCTCTGTGGAGGAAAGATGTGGCAGTCTGCTTCCATAAAGATTTACATACTTGGAAACCCTATGGGACAATTCTGTTTTGTCCTATAGGGTCACTGTGAGTCAGAATCTATGATGGCAACAGTTTTTTTTTTTTAATTAGAACATGAAATCTTAAAGCTTTTAAAATCTTGTATTCTTAAATGTATACCATGCAGTTATATTCCACATGATCTTTTATCATGACTCATTTTCTTTTTCTCTCTTTTTTGTTTTTGCTTCTCTTTTTCCTTTACAAGAAATCACCTTTACAGACAGTAGGTGAAGAACAAACCCAGAACCCCTACACTGAACTGATTGTATTGAAAGCTCATCATGATATTGTACGGTTTCTGGTACAGTTAGATGGCTACAGGTAAGAAACTCTAGTTCTGTAATTGACTACTGCTGGCAAAGAGTTTTTAGGAAATTTTGTGTTTAAAAACAAAGAACCTCAAAATTAATCTTTATTTTTTTAAAATTTTAAATCTCTGATCAACAGTGACCAACCAAAACCAAACTCATTGCCATCGAGTCAGTTCTGCCCATAGCTACCCCCGCTGGGTTTCCGCAGCTGTGAATCTTTATGGAAGCAGACTACCTCATCTTTTTTCTGTAGAGCAGCTGGTGGCTTTGGACCACTGACCTTTCGGTTAGCAGCCAGATGCCTTAACCACTCACTGTACCACCAGAGCTCCTTGTGGCATGTGATCAGTAGTGACATTTAGTGGAAATTGACCTCTGCATCTTTTTTGCTGGGTATATAATTCTTCGTTGAAAATTTTTCCTTTTTCAGGGTTTTATATATAACATCCCATTGTCTTCTCACTTGCATGGTTTCTGAGAGCTTATTCTTACTGGCTGTCCTTTGTAGGTAACTTTTTGTTTTCCTGTGCTGCTTCCAGGATTCTGTCTTTGTCTTTGGTTTTGATGAGTTTGATGATGATATATCTTGTTGATTTTCTTTTGGGGTCTATCCTGTTTGGGGTTCGTTGGACTTCCTGAATGGATATATTCTTATCTTTCATCATATCAGAGAAGTTCTCCTCCAGCAAATCTTGGACAGTTTTCTCAGTGGTTTTGTTTTTCTCTTCCTGTTCTGGAATTCCAATGACACGTAAGTTATTCC